ACCTTGAGCTCATCCAGAGACGCAGAGCCCTTGGCCCGGATCACCTCAAATTGAGGTCGGCTGGAGAACCACCTTACACCACCTTACCATTAGGGATGCACATCCAAAAAACAACAAGAGGCTTGGGAAAAATAAAAAGTGAAAATGATTAAACATGGAGATCTCTACTCTCACGCTGGGAGAAAACTAGACCTAATTTATTTCGCAAAAAAAAAAAAACACTTTGGGATTCCCCAAAGTTGGGAAGCCGGAAGTCGATTTCAATTCTTGAGACAACTGACACCCTGCCACATTGCACTGGGCTTTTCCCCGCCTTCAGAAGCGCTTGCTGCAGCTCTGGGTCGCCCTGGGGAAAATGCTGGAAAACCCTCATTTTTGACCCCTTGTTGATCATTCTGATTGTGATAAAGCGTGGGGGTATCATTATGAAACCCCAGAAATCATAATCAATAATTATATTTGGATTGTTATGAGTTTAGCATCAATTTCAACCTTGTTTGATGGCCATCGGTTTATCCCCTTTGGACAAGCCCAACTGTAAGTCCACCATCTCAGGGCCTGTGCGTCTTCCACGGCCATGGGTTGCCATCTTCGAAAGACGCGCCGCGGCTCCCAAAACAGCACCTCAGCGCAGGCAGTGCCAGCGACAGTGGGGACCTCTGGCAGAGAAATCATGTTCAATGTGTTTCACCAACATCAATATGAAAGAAATGTGGAAGGGAACCAACTGACTCTCAAGTGGAACTGAAATTAGGGTTTAGGGTCAGTTTTTCTAGGCCCGCAATCCGCTCGTGATCAAAATTAAAAGGCACACCAAACTCGACCCCATACCGCAGTCCCTGCCTTGGTGAGATCGTACTTGGAGCCAGCCTCAAAAACCCGCTCAAGGGTGGCCTGAGAGCAGGGAGACACACCATATGACTTGTCTGGCTTGTCTTGATATGCAGGATACATCAAAATGTGAAGTTTCATGAAAAAAATGGTGATAAACCATTTTATATAACGGGCTACCCTAATTCCAAGGTGATTCTGAGCTGAATCCTCACCTGTTCTCCTGCCGGGTTGATGAGAAATCGCGCCACCTGGCGAGCTGACGACTTCCAGACGCTGAAAACCACCCAGTTCGTTCGCAGCACAGGTCCACCTGTACGTCTAGGCGGCCGCCCTGTTGCATCACCACACCCAAGAGTTGTCGTTTGGCATTGAACCAATCAATGTCTCCAGCACCTGACAGCAGAATCTTGCTGAAAATGTGGATGTGACATTGATGCAGCCGAGGTCGAACAATTTGCGCTGAATAATCCATCCTCTAATATTGAATACCCCCAATGTTGAGCCCCCACATCGATCTATGGGGGTGTTTATAATTTTAAGGGTATGGGATTGCCACAAACTGCCCACATGACATGACTTCGAGTGCATCTCTTCTGCTCCCCCCCGCCTTTCAAATCATCGCAAGCACGTGTCCAGTGCTGAATGATGTCCTTGTTAGAGTTTGGTCCTCCCAACTTTGCACATCTCCAGCCACCCCGGCCATCAGTTTCCTTGGGTTGACGCTACTGTTGTGACGATGAGGGAGCTACCACATAGGGACAAAAGTTGGGCGCAAAATGGTGCTCTGCCAGCATGTCATCGATGTCACACAGCGTTGCGCTCCTATTCGCCCATCTTTGTTGACAGGCCAGTCAACTACCTCGCTGCCGGCCGTTGAAACTGTTAAGAATCCAACACGTCCAACGGCGGCAATCTACCAGTCCTTCAAGAACATGGTGATATATGGGGAATATTGGGGAATCCAATAGACTTGGTTGTTGGTTGGTTGATTTTGGTTGGCTGATATTTCACCACAACCACCACCCTTCCCCTGAGCACTGGACCCCTTCAAGAACCTGTTTCAGGTAGAGCTTCGTGGAGTCATAGAAGATCTGTCAGAGCTAAATTGGCTCGTGATTCTCGTGGGAATTTGACCATTGGAAAACATGTGATCCTGATGTATCTTCCATTTCTCAATGTCATTTCAACAGTAACAACCTAGCATGCTTTCCCTATGCTCTTTTCCAGGCAGCTTTGAGCTTTGAAACAATGGCTACTTACAGCCAGATCAGCTCATTGGCATCTAATGGCCACCAGCATTCAGGCCACTGCAAGCCTTCATAGATGGACGGCAGCCTCTCTTCACACAACCGGTGCAAGCAGCGCTCTTGTCGTTGCTGATGCATTGGTTCATGCACTTGTCGCGGGAGCCACCAATTTGGCCATGCAGCTAGCACAACCACTGGAGTAACCCTTGCCCTGGTGATGAGTTCCCAAACATCAACCAACTATCGAGCCATATTGGAGAATATCAGAAAAAACAGAGTATTAATGTGTATTAATCGTATTCATCAACCATCTCAAGGTCTCAAGGTGTTCGAACTCTGAACATATCAAACAAAAGAATACAAAAGATGTGTTTTTCCTCCCTGGCATGCAACTCTTGGTGCAAGCGAAGCCCGCAGCACAGGAGCGGCCGCGGTTCAGTGAACCATCGAAGCTCTTCCTTCCACTTTTCTTCCAGAAGTTCAAGTCCTTGCTGTTGGTGCAAGCACCACATGGCCCAAATGGCCCACATGGCTTTCCTCATCATCCATCAAGGCATCATGGTAGTTACCTGGTAGTTCACATCCTTCATTCCTCGGAGCTGGTTCAGTTCCAGGCTGCAGGAACCTTCAGCACAGGAATCGTCCACCTCCAATGCCAGGTGGAGTCCACTGTCTCGGCGGCCAAGGTCAAGGCCACCAAGGTCCACAGAAATTTCATGGCGCAAGAAACGAGTGCTTGAAAAGGATTGAAAAGGTACCAAAGCACTGTTGCCAGAGGGAAAGTGCAGCTGAGTATTTGAGCCAATGTGCATCAGTTACGTGTCACGTTGTTGTGAGATCATACCACATCAGACCATTCTCTCAGTGGCGGGAAAGCGCTGGCCTCGTGCAGGCCGGACAAAACGATCCGCAGAGCACCGTACCTGGCCAAAAAAAACAGGCTTTTGCAATGGCTGCAATGACCCCAATCTGAGTTGCAGCCTATCACACTTGATTCAATTGGATGAAATATTGGATGAAATCGCAGCATTTTCCCCATTTTCCATGGCATTGTCCATAGCATTTTCCAGGATTTCCCTCTTTTTTTTGGCATCCTCAGGCCCTTCCCTTTTTCCCTCCGGTTCCCTCCGGCACGTTCTTCGCAGCTCCGACTTGGCATTCCAGCCCAAGAGCCCGGCCAACTTGTCGTACTTGGCTTTGGAGCCCATCTGTTTCACCTCGGAAATGGAACTTGGGGGGTCGGTCCAGGATGGCCCAGGAATCTAATGAGCGATGGAACTAAGGAACTGAACAACCCATGAATCAATTCAAACTGGCAATTTTTCCTTATTGTCCACTTCCGAAGTGGGACGCACGTCCAAGTCGGTTAACTTGGGTCCTTGATCTGAGTTGGAAGAGATTTCACTGCAGGGCTGTAGCTGATCGATGGAATCTTGAATCAAGATGAAACAAGTATACGTATAATAAGTCTCCTGTTTGACATGGAAACTGTTTGACTTCCATGTTCTGTCCCAGGGAAAAACATGTCAAACATGTCCATTGTCCAAAGTAAGGACAATGCCTTACACACAATTTCCACATCAAGGAGTCCAGGTGAAGAAAGGAGTCTGGGGATCGGGCATGTGAGACCAGATTTCGCCTCACCTGAACTCAGGCACCCCAGCAGCTTCCAAATCACTAAAACCGCTGAAGCCACTTGGGATGAGATACCGGTGATACCGGCCCAATCTGAGAGATTCTGAGAGTGCGGCTGTGTCATGCAAGTAGTTACTCGGCAAAGGCTTTGGATGGAGTGCAGCCCCAGCCTCCGCATCTCATCTAGGTCTGTGAGCGCGATGGTCCCTGCAGCGGCTGAGCGCTCCACTTGTGTCCGCAGCAGTATCTCGCATTCAGCTTCCGGATGCGACCAAAAGACATCTTGCCTTGGTTAAATCGAATGCCAGACTGTGAAGATCTGTGAAGCATCAAAAACTTACTGGTTCCTCCCGATCCAACGAGCACCATGGAAAGACACTGGGGAACAAAAAAACTGCAGCCAAAAAAGAGAGTTGCCACGTGTCAAAATTGTCAAATGAAAGCTGCCTAAGGCAAGTGCGAGAGTGCTTGGATCACAGCTCTAATCCTGAAGCCCATTGCCTCAAAGCACGGTGCCATGGGATGCATGCGCTAGTCATGGAGGCTCACTCTACACCATCATGTCACAAACCCAAGCCTTGATCAGAGGCAAAACTGCCTCTCTTTCCAGGGTTCCTCCAGCCTTCAAACAAGCGCAAAACGCAAGACCAAGGTGGGGCACATGGGCTATGCACAACAGGATGTCAGCCTGCTGCAGCCACGACATGATAGTCCCCAGCAGATCAGCAAATGGATCTGCAGACTGGCACACCAAGGGCTGGATCAAAACGCGGCACCCAGACATCGGCTGACGAATGGGCTGATGATTTCTGCAGCTGCTAATGGATTCCCATGGTCAAGAGGTAAATAGCCAGGCTTGCGTGTGGAAGGGACGCAGGCTGTTCCTCCACTTGAGCATCAGAACCACCAACGGGCGCTTCCTGGGACCACAAATTTTAGGGTTTCAAAGTTCAAACTTTTCAGCTGCGACCTCGACAGAATGCACAGAAAATCAACGGATTCCCTTCGCACGACATCCCAGAAATCAGATCTCTCCTCCGCCAATTCCTTCTGCAAAAGTCTTTGTACAATCTCTGCATTGGCCGCCTCAGGGAGCATGGCGAACTCCGGCACCGCCGGATAGCCCAAATACGTTGATGGGTTGATTCCTTAAAATTCCCTCCAGGGTCCGAAATTGGGACAAAAAATAGCAGATTGTCATCAAAACACGACACCCAAATAAAAAAATAAACAAATAAACATATGTATGTATATATTGTAGTTCCCTACACTGGCAGCAACCAAAATCAAGATGGGGGCCCCTGGTCCTATCAAATCTCTTCTCCTCCAACACAACGCCTTCCCAAGGCACACAGGATTTTTCTATGGCTGCAAACACGGTGCAAATCCAACGGAAGGTTGCTACAGGCTACCCAAGCCCTCTGGCCCTCCTGAGCCACCAAGTTCTCCACTGCATCACGGGGCTCACAACTGGTTGCAATCGGACAACACGCTGTCACTCTCTCAAGCAGTAATGGGTTATCCACGATGGTGAAGAAGTGGCACCAAAAACACACTCCTAAAAAACTGTTTCTTTTTCTTTTTGTTCTTTTTAATGAATTATATTCCAAGGTTCATGTGGTTTTTGAACGTGTCTCCTTTCCGGAACCAGCCCCCAGGCTAAAGAAGTGGAGTTCACAGGCTTATATTTTTCCAAGGAACAAGTTGATACAGGCATGCTTTAAGGTGGAGAGCTATTGGTCAGAGCTCTTCGGAACTGACTTGGTCATCTCCTTTCCCAGCAGTCATCATCAACGCAAAAACATGCAAAGCGGAGTCGATGGAGCTTGATTGCTGGTACCATTGTTGACGGATCTTTTTGTCGGCTCGTTGACGAAGGATCTCGTCCACGTCATGCAAGATACATTTTCCATGTTTCAGGAAGGTACGCAAAACGCTGGTATCCATTTCTTTGGTTAACGCATCGGCCATTTGAGCTGCCGAGTGTACCCATTTAACATGGACTCCTTCTGAAAGGCGATCTTTGATTACAAGTGCTTCAAGCATCGTGCGATATTCTGAACATTGGGGGATGGATGTCTTTTGTAGTAAATCAAATAGGCTCTTACAATCTACCACTGCAAATGCATTCGGCAATGTTTTGAGGGTGATCTCAGGGTTACGCCAATTGATAGTGGGGTTATTAATCCAAGCCCAATGCATCCTGATCCAACTAAGAAGATCCAAGGCACCAGATAGGGCATATGTCTCTGAGGCTAACGTGCTTGCAACTACTCGGTTGATCTTCTTGGAGAACCACACTAATGGGCTGACATTGGAATTTTTGGTTTGATCGATCTCGTCGGTGGTCGCCAAAATCAAACAACCCTTTTGTGAGTGTGCTTTTTCTCGAGTAGCAAATGCTGCATCTGAAAACGACAGAAAGCGGATCTTGTCAGGAGACATGGATTGAATTTTGATGGAAACATCGGAAAACCTTTTTGCATCTGCCAAAAGTTTATTCCCATGCATCAAGTCAGCCACAGTGGCACAAGTGACCTTGGCTTGCAACAAGCTCAGTCTGCACGACAGGTCGGGACGGCTGTTTGTCGCTGCATACTGTAAGCTTCCAATCAGGCCACGTAGCTGTTGAAGTTCATTGGGAGTGATCTTGGAGTCATGTTCTTTTCTTCTCTCCCTGGGGATATCGATTGGACAAATGTCATTTACGTAATCCTTTTGATTCAAGACAATATCTCCATTGGGTTCCTGTGTAATACCAACCCCGGTAAAGGTGAAAGATCCCTGCCTCTGACTACCAAACGGAAACCTCGCTTCAAGTGCTTTTATGGCTTTGGCAAACACTGCATCTCCGCCACCTATGCCATCATCTACGTGGATTCCTAGGACTCCATGGATGTATGGTTCTCCTGGTGCGGAATTTTTCTTTGGCAAAACAAAAAGACAAGGGTCAAGAGGAGAAACTAAGAACCCTAAATTTTGTAGTGCCCCCTTGAGTTCGATATACCATAGCAGGGGAGCATTGATAAGGCCGTAAGCACCCTTTAGAAGTTCACATGTCTCATGGTCCTGGAGCTTCATTCTGCAACGTAGTTCTGCCGGGGGTTCTACTCCAAGAATTCGAGAGTCTTGTCGACTCCCTCTGAGAAATGCTGTTTTGATGTCAAAGGATTTCACACCCCATCGGTGACTGGAAATGCACTGTAGTGCCAGCATACGGCTGTCGCGGCCCAAGGTTGGAGAGTCACGGGGAAGTGAATCAATTTGCGGATCCTCGTACCCTAGGATGACAAGTCTGGCTTTGGCTTTCTTGTTGAGTCCTGTCTCTTGTTGATCTTTTTCATCTAAGTGCTTCCAAGTGAGAACCCACCTAGACCTTAGGAGTTGTCCTTCTGGGATTTGGGATCGGAGAATTTTTCGGACGGTATCGGTTGCTAACCATGAGTCAATTTCTTTATTCTTTGCTTCAAGAAACATTTTTCGTTCTTCGGGTGAAAGATCTTTTTCCTTGACTTCTACTTTCTGTCTCTTCGCTGCGGATGCCAGGAGGATCTCTTGTTCTCCATAGGTTTTTCCCAGGCATTTCTGAACTTCTTCCATGGTCAGGAAAATTTCAGCTGATGTTCCTCGAAAATGGTGTGGCGTTTGGACATGATAGTTGATATGTTCTGGACTTGACGTTTCTAAATTGAAAGTTGTGGTCCCTGTCCAAGGTTCGGGCATGGGTTGGTGGCTTTCCACATTGACTCTCCATCGTTCTTCCTTCTGGAACGTCTGTCCTGAGAGGAAGTCGCCTCGGGAACTACGCATGTCACCTATTTGTTGTGGATCAACTGGACAAGACCAAGCTTCTTCTGGAAAGAACATGTTAATCCTCGGATTTACATGATGTCTGATGAGTTGGTCTCCAGATACTTCCCAATAGTCATGATTTCTGTGGGTGGCTATTAGATCATCATTGACCTCAACAGGGACTGGCACTTCCCATGGTGCTACGTCATCCTCAGGGTTATCTCCGGCTGATGTGGCAGGTGCCGTGTTACTTCCCCCGGGGGTTTCTGGTTCATCATCTGGTTGGGCAACGGAAGGTGGATGAGGAATGTTATTGGTGGTAGAGTTATCCTGATTATTAGGGTTACTGACAATTATTGTTTCAGGTCCATCATGGGGATTATTGGAATTTCTGGTGGCTTGATGTTCTGGTCGATCTGGTGGCTCAAGTGGACTATGCAGACCTGGTGGACCTTGTTGACCTGTGAGTTCTCGGTATTGGAAAACACCTGATCCACTTCTGTCAGGCAGGAAAAACATGCGGCGATCGTCATCTGAAACCGATCGTGCTTCATCCTCCGACAGTTGTCGAATGTGTTCAGGAGCGCATCGGTAGATCCTAGTCAAGTGACTCACCCAAACAAGGTTTCGGTCCTCAACCATAAGAATCTTTGCGGGCCCATGCCACGATCCATCCTCAACACCTTTGCCTGATCTCCAAAACATGACAATGTCACCTGTTTGGAAGGTGAGTCTCTCGGGTCGCGATCTTGCGTGCAACGCACGTCGCAGTGTTGCACTATGATCAGCACGGATGAAGGCTATTCGTGCGGCTTCACGGCGGGCTAACATTTGTTGGAACTTGTTCCCCTCCGTTGGTCTGACATCCAGATCTGAGAAACTGGCACTGTCTAGTTGGCCGGAGGCTAAACTTCCTGGGACAGGTTTCATTTTTCCTAACACCCAGAGTTCAGGGGTGTACCCTTCATGACGGGACATGGCATTCTTGGCATTACACAAATGAATAAGCCCCTGATTGAAGTCATCATCGCTAGAAATAGGCTGGTCCTTGTGGTACTTATCCAACATGTGTTTGATTACTGCTCCATTTCTTTCTGCTCTGCCAAGCTGCCAATGAGCCTCTGTGGGTATGACATAGCTCTGGATGTTGTGTTCCTGGAGGAACCTGCCAAAGGTTTCACTGTTTGCTTCCGTTCCACTGTCAAACATGAGATGTTTTGGTGGACCAGCCCATCGGAGCCAGGCACTTTGGAACGCGTCTATGAGCCCTTCTGTCGTTCCTTGATGGTAAGGTATGGCAACATGATAGTTGGAAGCAGAGTCTATAAAATGGTAGAACCTATATGACTTTCCATTTTCATCTTGCCATTCTGCAGCATCAAACGACACTTGATCATTAAAATCTCGTGGCTCACGCAAGTGTCCCGGTCGGGAGATCTTGGGCTTTTGTTGTTCCACGCAGACAGGGCATGTGAAGTCTGCACAAGCTCGCACAGAAGACTCTGACCATCCATAGCGTCTCAGAGCCAATTGCAACACACGATTGTCAGGGTGTCCAAGATTCTGATGAAGTTTCTTCACAATGTTCTGGGAGGATTGAGGTAATTTGGTAAACATTGGTCCATGAGTTTGGGTTTGAACATGGTGTGGTTCACGGGTTTCTGGACTGGTGTCTCTAAGTGGTAGTTGTTTGTTCTTGGTCACTTCCGGATCAGGCACATCAGGTACTATGCTGTCAGGGCTATTCATCGCAAACTTGACCCTTTTGGCTGAACTGGTTTCTGAGAGATCGGTGTGAGGTGCACTCTCAGGACGCTTCTGGGTGGCAAAGACTGTAATTGCTATTCGCGCAGCAGTCCCATTCCTGATTTGCTGGCGACGAGACAAGGTCTCCCAGGCTTCCCATTCTGCATCTTCAAACACTTGGAGGTCACTGCGTTTCTTACCAAACACTCTGCGCAGTGGTGCAAAACCCTTGGAGCCTATTGGACATGTTCGACGGCGGTCCACACCTCGACAGATGTCTATTACTTGAACTGTCTTATCTGGATACAATCCTTGGACAAAATCAAATAAAGGACCCTGTTGAACAACCAATTTGCCAACTCTGGGAGCACTTTGTTCTGCCATGTGAATCGCCTGAGCAATCATGGGTGACCTGGTTTCATTACCACAGGACTGAGGAATTGAAACGGCGGATGCGCTGCCATCGCCTGCAGGAACTTCTGGAACAAAAATTTGTTCCGGACTGAACTTGCCGTGCAGTCTTCGGCGTTTCGGTTCGGGTGCATTGTCGGCTGTCATTTCGGCATCTGGAGTATGGGTGTCTTGAACGAAACAAGGTTCCAACTGGATGCTATGTTCTTTCACTTGCAGGCTGCAGTCAATGGCTCTGGCCAACCTACGTCCGAACATGGCAGTATAAAGTTCAGTGTACTTGGATACTGACATTCGATTTTGTCCCTTAGGTTTGCATGAACCGGCAACAACATCATGGTGATGGGCTCCCACGCAGAGACATCTTTCTAGCATTCTGTGCATTATTTTGGAAGTGGTCAACACTTGAGTTCTTTTGCGAAGGTGTTCTTGGCTGTTGGGATGTCTGAGGCCCCCCGCAACACACATGTCACACAAAACACGCACAGTATGTAGGAGAATAAACGTCATTTCCCTTTGGTGAATCATTTCAGATCCTTGTGGCTGTTCCAAATGAAAATGAAACGTATCCCCTCTCCAGATTTGCAGTTGACACAAGGCGCTGCACATCCACAAATGAACGTTCTCGGCGGCTCGGCTTTGAGCTACGTGCTGGGCAAGACGCTCCGATTTGGAGGCATTCAGACGATTCCAAAGACACCATGGTGAACACTTCGGGGAAACCCAGATATGTTTAGGCCTAAATACCCATAAGGCATCGTACAGGCGACAACGACCAGCGTACGTGCTCAAATCACCCTGCCTGAGACCAAATCGAATTGCTGTGAGACCCTGCATCTGGCTCTGGTGGGTCAGTTGGCTCTGATCACTGCAGTAGACTTCCAGCAGATGACAATTGGACTGGTGCCAATGACGCTCAACTTGTTCCAGGCTCATGTGTCTATGTTTCTTTTGCCAGTAGTTCCACATTTCAGCATAAATCGGGTTTTCCATTTCCATTTCTTCATGAAAAACAGTCTGAAAATACTGGACGTCATGAATTTGAGTGTTCGGTTCTTGAAGTTTCTGAAAACCTACATCATCACATATCCATGATCTGAGCTCATCCACATTCTGGCCGGATTGGATCACTTGTTCGATGCGCTCAGAGGGTGCGTCTGCATGATCATCTGCAGCTGCTGGGAGATCTGGCTCAGCATGTTCTCCATGTTGTTGATGCGCTGGCCCTGCATTTGAACTTCCTCTGAGATCTGTGCGTTCGGTGGAGCATATGGCTCCCAGGTCATGTCCGGCTCGGACCAACTGTCCTGACTCCCTGTCTCTGCACAGTGTGGCGGGGCCGCTCGGCTCTTGGCCTTCAGATCCAGATTTGGTCGCGGTGTCAAGGGCACCTGATGATGATCTTCCCCCCGCTTCAGTTCTTGGCGCTCCACATACATGTTCAGGAAGAACAGGAAGGAACGGTGGGTCTCCTTGGTGCTGTGAGCATACTTGCGGGCAAACCACTGTGCATACTTCGGGTCTTTCTCTATCACCTCTAAGTAGGTCATCCCCACTTTGGCCTCTCCGAAGGCAATTGGCAGGCGAGACAACTCCTCGTAGGACTTTGTCATGAACTCCTCTTGCTTCTTCTGACTGGTGACGGCCTGGAGACGATCGGCAAGAGATGTCATGGCCATGAGATATGCTCGACGGTGGAAGGCACGGTTCGGATGCAGAACACGGTGACTCAACACTTGAGGCTTCGAATTGGCTTTCGGTTGGGATCTCTCCTGGGTCTTCGGTCATTGACTCAACTGACATGACGGGTCGATCTGACAAATCAGTTCCAGACACCATGGTGGTTTTCCTAGAAGCTACTCGGCTAACCAACTCGCAAAAATCCAGCAGGTACAGCTTCTTTTCAGACAGCTGTAGTGGCATGGTCAGATCTAGCTCGGAAAAATAAACCGTGTCAGTGGCTGTATTGATCTGTGCCCCCAAGGTGCGAAAAACATTGTTTGACAACAGAAAGGGAGTTTGAGTCTTGACTACACAAACCCGTATGAACCATTTTCCCAGGGGAACCAGCAAAGCCTCTTGACAGGTCACTGTGCTGTTGTTACCAAACCTGAAAATAGTTTGGCATGGAATCCTTCGGATGCTCTTGGAAACATGAAAGGGAATATGGTTCCACAACTCTTTCAATTGATCCTGGCCAATTACAGTCTGGCTTGCACCTAAATCAACGATCCCGAAGGGTCCATGGCTGGCAAAACATGCTTCGGCTTCGGCACGATTGGTCACGGTTGGACTCTTCGGCTCAACAGGACATGGCGACACCGGTTGTGTCTTTGCAAAAGGTGGCTCAGGAGGTCTCGGCAACAGAGGGCTAAGGCGGCACTTCAGGGAACTGACAAGCCTGGACAGGACAGAATCAGACAGGTTCAACTCACTGGCTCTATCCCCACTATGGTTATGTATCCCCATGAACCACTCATGCCTATCCCCAGTAAACCCCATTTTGAGCTCAACGGCCTCGGCAGCTTCGTCCAAAACGATCATGTCATCTCCAGGCAGAGAGCTTGAGATCACGGCGGCTGTTCCGGCAAATGCCTGGGCATCTTTGGAGTTTCCAGTGGCACTGGCGGCTGCAGATCGATTCAAGGGACATTCTGCCTTCCAATGGCCTTTTTGGCCACAACGTCTGCACTCGGACTCCAAGATCCTCTGAGACAGCGGTTTCCGGTAACGGCCATTCCATTTCCCTTTTCCCTTGCCTTTCCCTTTGGAGAACTGCTGTGATCCCTTGGATGCATTCCAGAAGCCTCGGTTCTTGTTGCGATCCGTGAGACGCTTTCGGGCGTCGAGGTAGGTGTTGTAACACGATGCGAGTTCTGTGTCACTTTGCAAGGCCTCGACAAGCCCTTCTTCGAATTGCATACACACGATCGCATCAGGATCATTGTCATCATAGTAAGGGTCTGGCTCATCCCAAGTCTCTCCAGTGAAGGCGTATTCGTCTTCGGTTGAAAAAACTGGTTGTTCTTCATCAAAAACGGCATTCACATCATAGGTCTTTGTGCGGACTACCGCTTTGTTTCCGGACTGAAGTTCATGAAAAAACCTAGATCCCAGCAGTTTCAACGCGGACACGATGTTCTTGTACTCCAAGGAGCCATTGGCGTCAACGATCAGCTTCTTCTTGTCCTCTGCACCAAGGCCTGAGTTCCTAAGAAGAACATAGGCGCGAATCTCAGCAAAACCAACCCCCATCTGCAGAAGTTCTTCAAACTGAAAATCGTGTCGGGCCATGTAACTTTCATGGGATTCATCACTTCTCTGAACTGTGGTGAAGATGGCACGCTCGAAACGTTCGAACTTTTCCTCCAAGTTGCTACGACCCCAGATGCCTCCTAAGGTCTGAACGAGAGCTTTGACACCACTGTCAGAATTGGCTTTCAATTTCGACGGGTCGATTCTCATGACCTTCTTGAAAGAACTTCCCTCACAAAGCATTGCCGCTCGAGAGGTGAGCTGCCCTAGGTGTTCTTGCGGCCATAGGCTAGCTAAGAACTCCAACTTCTTCGTATACTCATTTATGTCAGTCTCTCCAGGTTTGAAGGCAGGTATCATGCTCCATGGTAAATGGGATAGAGATCCAGTCGAAGTGGACTGAACCGTCCCAGCACCTGTTCCAGATTCACTACCTGACATCCTGGATCAACAAGGCTTCCAGCAAGACCTAGTTCAAAGAACACCTCGCTGGCCTTTGGTAGCTCCGCTACCAGTGTAATTCCCTACACTGGCAGCAACCAAAATCAAGATGGGGACCCCTGGTCCTATCAAATCTCTTCTCCTCCAACACAACGCCTTCCCAAGGCACACAGGATTTTTCTATGGCTGCAAACACGGTGCAAATCCAACGGAAGGTTGCTACAGGCTACCCAAGCCCTCTGGCCCTCCTGAGCCACCAAGTTCTCCACTGCATCACGGGGCTCACAACTGGTTGCAATCGGACAACACGCTGTCACTCTCTCAAGCAGTAATGGGTTATCCACGATGGTGAAGAAGTGGCACCAAAAACACAATATATATATAGATATAGATACCTCTCAAATCCCTATGTCACTGATCACCTCGTCCTCAACAGAGATCACCGGAATCTCCTGTCAGGCAAGTGTACATCAAACATCTTGGACAACCTTGGAATCAAAAAATCATACCTAGTGATACTCCACTTCGACTGAGTTTGAAATTTGGACCAGGTTGCTCGAGTCGACCAGGTTACTAATATATTTTTTTGACCCATGTCTGACCCAAGTCTCCTCCGGTGGCGTGTGACCATCGGCTGCTGGATCTGCAGAGGTACTGCCAGGAGAGGTTTGCTGCTCGGAAAGATTGGCAAGCTTGATGAGTGCACCAACCTATCCCCAACTGACCTGAGAATCTAGATGTGTTAGCCCCATTTAGCCCCAATATTTCGCGATACTCAGGACATGTACACAAAACAATCACTCAAAAAAACAGCGCTCAAAATCCCCTTCAGGGCCCTTGGATGGCCGTTTTCTGAGATGGCACGACCATGGTTTTGCATCGCACCTTGTCTTTGGTACCTGTGCATCACCCAGCTCATCCTGTGGCCTACGAGGTACAGTAGAAGGTTTCCGTCCATGGTTCCATGCACAGTCAATCGACAGCATATCTTCGGCAGAAGGTTTGTCTTATCGTGCTATCCAAATAACCAACGAAACATCATATATATATATATATTGTATATATATATACACACACATTATATCTACATAGACGCATTCTATTATCGTTCACTGCGCATGGCCAGTCAAAATTGCAAAAAAAAAGTTTAAAGAGCCAGAGTCAGGTGCAGGACGGCTTCGTAGATGTTTAGGTAAAAACCGTTGGGGACAGCAATGTACCAAAGCCGTGCATTAAATGCAAGAAGAAGACTTTGAATCGTGCACCACCCCATAGTAGATGTTGCACGAAGAAGGACCTTAGTTGTCCGGTTCCTTAGTGCTCCAGATGCTGTCTTGGCACTTGGCCAGCCAGCATCGAACCTTCAAGACCTCATTAGGGCATGAAGTTTTTTGGGCCCAGCCAAATCTAGCAAGATAAGGACAAGACGGTTTAGGAGGGAAAGGACGAAGACGGCTTGGACAATCCCAAGTGATGTGCTCCCATAATCCGACATTGCACCCCCACGGGCAAGCAGAAGAACGAGAAGATGAACGAATACGAGAGTGAGTACCCCTGAACGTAGCACCCAACCCGACAGTGGCAGCGACGGGGCTGGACAAAATCCAAGAACGAATGTTTTCGACATCCAAAGAAAGGAAATCTTGATCAGAGACAGGGAGGGACTGGACCTCATGCCTGCCACATTCGGAATATTTTTTCCAAACCCAAGCCCTCCAGCCTTCCCGAACATTGTGTTGAACAAGACCGATAAGAGGCTCCAGCATGGTGGGACGCAAAGCGCCGGAACAAGTCCCACCATGATTAGACCAGGAAAGGTCACGAGACCGAAAGCGAGCACGGAGGACCGCAGCCACCAAGCGAGTGACCCAAGTGACATCCAGGTGCAAGTTACCCCTCAAGGAAAGAGCGTGCAGCCACAGACTGGAGTACCGGACACGGCGAGTTGAGACCCAGAAGGCGGTCCAGAGAGATTTAGCGACAGTCCAGGGTGGGACCACGAGCAACCCAACCGTAGTTGGCTTTAGGGAAGCAAACCACTTAAAATACCGAAGCTGGGTAGGAAGAAGGAAGCCACAGCAACCCAGTAGACGAGCAGTAGCCTTAGCAGCAACAATCCCATCTTTTTCGATGTAGTGAAGTTGACGACGACCCGACCAAGAGACCGCCCCGAGGACCCGAACGGCAGGCGAAATCATTGAGGCATCGAATTTTTGACGGAGGGCAGAGAGACGGGCAGACCCGACCCCAGACACCTTAGCCTTTTCAAGCCGACAGAGTGACTCCAGCGAGACCACCCCTCTTTCAAGTAAACAGATCTTGGACAGAAGAGGACGTACAGGTCCGATCGTCAAGATAGATTTGCAGAGAAGACGGACCAACCTCCAAAATAGACGACATAACTCCGCTTTGAACCCAAAGTGAACAGATTATGGGACCTAACGGATCACCTTGAGGCAGGATAGCGGATCGGATGGCGTGGGCTCTAAGAGGTTCACTATGAGTGTGATGATCATACTGAATGAGCGATTTTGGCTGCCCCAAACGGCATTGAGAAGGTCAGTAATGTTGGGTGGCCAACCATACTTATCAAGAAGGGAGACAAACATGTCAGTACTGATAGTATCAAACGCCTTCGAATAATCCAACGTAAGAAGAAATCCTTGTTGATGGAAGTGGTCGAAATTACGGGGGTTTTGACACCACTCGTACGGAGAGTTTCATTCGGATTAGTTCCATTAATTTCATGAGGACTATATTATAAATAACTATATAGATTGTAAATGAATGTAAATGATTATTGTTGGGAAGTTCCCAAGTTATAATGATTGCATTTTATTCCTGTTACTCATGGATTACGATAGTCCCCAGTATGTAAAGGGTAGGTTAATAGCCCCTCGCAAGAATCATCAACCAGCGCCAGGGTTTTCGACACTGCTCATGCAAATCTATCTCTGAATAAGGCTGGCGCCCCACACCAAATAATAGCCTCGGAGCACGTGCAGGGTGCAACAAAGCCTAACATTGAATCCCGGAGAGAGCATTTCCAATGCATTTCCCTTCTTTCCCCAGCACTTTGGCATCTTTGGCTAGTCAGTTATGCTTTTTAAACCCCTTCCGGTCACCAATTCTGGTAGTAACCTTGCCAGTTCTATCCACTATCGAAGCTATCGGAGCATCGTTCACCGTTGAGGTCCCACACTTCGCCCCAGGACCCAAGGTGGGAGCATCCAGCTGCGTTGGCTGATGCCTTGAATGGGAAGTTTTGAAGTGTCGGCTGCCGACTGGTGCTTGTGGTATGACTTATTCTGACTATCAGTGACTATCAGTATACTTCAACTATGATGATTTGTTTTGATCAGTCATACATTGTGATTCTGGTATATGTTCATCATGCCGATTCCCATTCATGGTGGAATGGTACTAGGTCTCTTGGTGTTTTTTTGCCGATGTGAGAACAAATACATTGGTTTGCCCAAAAAATCCTATTTTCGCTATTAAAATAGTCTTTTGAGGGGTATATAAGCCATTTCCACATCTCCAGCACATCCCATGAGCTTCGGCCTCCTCCGCCAGTCTGGAACTGCAAAGGATCGTGGTTCGGTCAAGCTGCCCACGCGCTCCAACAGCGCCTGACGGTCAAAAAATCCAGTAAAGCATGGTAGAGCCCAGAATCGATCCATGATGGTTATGACATGCTATGACTGCCTGGCTTGAAGATCTGATAACAAAAATGCGTAAACTGGCAATTCGCCTGCATTTCGACCGGAAATTTTGGAAGATTGTCTCGCACTGCTGCAGAAAGAGCTTCTCTCTGAGGAGCCTCAAAATCCTGCAGAACAAGAGCTGTATCCAACGGTGCAGTGTCTTCCAAACCAACAAAGTGTATGTCAAAAATCTCAGGAATGCCATGGAATGCAAAAAAAAACATCATCATTGGGAGATGATGCGCTTGCGCGTGCCTTCTGCAGGGTGACATCACTCAAAACCTGCATCAAAAACAGTGGTATCATGGCATGAGGCAACGAAACTTGTCCAACAGTTAAAACAACCAGTTTGGGTCATGGTTTCTGTTGCTTGGCCAGCAAACCCATCCTCCAAGTCGGTCCATGGGTCAGAACTGAGCTGATCTCGGCACC